TAATGAGGGTTTGAATTCTGCGAGCCTGGACGCACACAACTGACAGCTTGCGGGCTGTGCCACTGCAGGGAATAGCCGAAATCACCGTAACAAAAGGGACGGATGGAAGCAGCAAATAACCACGTGGATCCCCCTTCTCTCGGCACCGCCACCCACCAGTTCTCAGGGCTGTCTGTCGTTTCTGACAGGTAATGTCAGACCAGACTAACCGAGGCAAGTGATTAGAGCTCAAAGCAAACCCGAGTACAGGCACTTCTGCAGCACTCCAAGAATTGCCAAGGATATCCGGCCCCGGTTGACACGGCCTGCGAGCTCCCCGCTTCTGCCATGCTCCTGTAGTCTGAGAAGGAAAGATGCACAAAAAAGAGACAAAAACAAAGAAACACATCCAACAGCGACAGTGTAACATGGGAAGGATGATTCTCCACGCAGGAGCCGCAGCCGTCTCTGTAAGAGAGACCACCAGCAGCCTTTTTTTGCCGGCACACGGCAGCTCGTGTCCCCCCGGGGGCTGCCTCCTGCCCACCGTGCCCATCGCCCATCCGCATCGGCCGAACCGCACCACCACCGGCCCTCCTCTCACCGAGGCACACGCACACCTCGGCCTGGCTGACAAGGAGCCAGCAAAATAACAACCTTATACAAATACTTCTGGCGATTTCGGGTTTTAATAATCTTGCCACAAAGCAGCAAGTTTCAGCAAATTATGCAATACTGGTGACAATGACAGTTGTGCTGACAACACAGGCTATCAACCCAAGCACCGCACTCCAGAGGTGACGGGAAAGCAAAGGAATCTGGAGTCACATTCTGGCATGTGTGTCACCACAGGTTCTGGGCTTCTGCCCTGTCATACAGGCGTGCTAGTATTTTTATTAAGCTCTGCCACACACCTACGTGACCCCCTTGCAGTCCCATTGAAAGCTTCCCCAGGAGCTGCGGTCCCAGGAGCGGGGGGCTGCTCCCTGCGTAGCTGCGGGCTGCGCGCACGCGGGATGGCGTGCGGACCGCTCGTTCCTGTGCCAAGAGAGCGGTCACCCCACTGCCCGCGCGTGGCGCCGGGCACGGCCCCCTGCCCCACGCGTGCAGGGGCCCACAGCACCGTGTAACCCGGCCGCGGCGTTAGGGACGTGCTCCTCAGAGCCCCTCACCCTTATTCCTCATGCTCACTCTGCAGATACCCGTACAACCACTAGACTGGACAGCCAGCAAGCCAGCTTCATCCCAATGCTGAACTCTTAAAAACCTACAGTCCTTTCTTCTAGACAAATATTAAGGGAGAAAGCTTCAGAAAACAACATTTTGCTTACTCCAAGACTGGGCCCAGATCCGCTTATACAAACAGGTAGCTGCCTCAAGGCAGCTGCAAATTGGGCAATTACGGAGGTGTGTCAAGG